GTTCCTTAAGACTTAAACAATTTCACTCACATGGCTTAGGTTAACTTGTGGTTATGTTTTCAGGCACCTTTCCAAAGGTGCCACATGCTGGGATCGCCTCCCCAGGAAATAAGTCACTTCCCTGGCAAATCAGCCATGGTGAGATTTGAACCTTGGTTTCAAGGTCAGAAAATGAACATTTTAACCACTTAGCTATACGAACCCCATATATATATATATATATATATATATATATATATATATATATATATATATATGATGGACTCTCCCGTCAAGTTCGATATATGAGGTCCCAAAAACCACAAACTAATTATCTGCATGCCTATGACGGCCATAACTTTTGAGATCAGCTTGAGAATTGCACAAACCACAAGCAGTACAGGATCTCTTGGTAGCTACCTCTTCAAAGTTCTTGAATGGAATGTTGATACAAGAAAGGTTGCTTTTCAGTTTATCTTTATACCTGAGCCAAGGTCTACCAACATTTCTATGACCACTATAGAGTTCACTGTAGAAAAGAACTTTTGCTATGCAATCATCACTAATCATCAAGGATATATGTATATATACAAGTATTGGATTGGTGTAGATGGAATAAATTCCAATAGCCAAAAATACTGTTATTAAAAAGTGCTAAATACACAGTAGAGCAAATATTATTTATTCAAAAATTATTACAAACATGTTATAACATCACTACAAAAATAGTCATTTTGTTTCAACACTTCTGGTGTCTTATCAAGTGACTTTATGGTCACTTGATAAGACACCAAAATAGCTATTTTTGTAGTGATGTTATAACGTTTATGTTATAATTTTTGAATAAATAACATTTTACATATATATAATAGCTGGCTATTGTCTTTTTCTAAGCACATCTGTCTGCTAGGTGGGGGCTAGCCAATCCTTGTTGCAGATACCCACTTGTGGTTTATACTGTAACCCTACTTTGGAGGCATAATTACAATTTCTGGGAGAGAGTGCATACTTGTCATAATCAACAGTTTCCAATAAATATCACCTGAAGAAGACCTGAATGTACAATGGCTGAAACATTGTGAATGTGACAATAAAGATAAGGGTGTCATTATGAACAATGTAACTAATGTAATAATTATTTTAGTGGAGTAGACATTTTTTTTATTAAACACTGTGAATTAGCTCTGCATATTCTAGAGACTTAAAGAAAATATGGTCCCTGGCAGTGGAAACAGAGCAAGTGATAATTAAACAATACTAAATAACAAGAAGATGAGCTAGCACTTGACATAGACTGCAGAATGAGAACAATTTATCCCACCCACTCCAGATTAAGTAGAGTTCAGTTAGAATTTCCCTAAAGTTTGCCTGGATCAACATACACCTGAAGAAGGCACTATGGCTGAAATGTTTTTTTTAATAGCAACAAAGATAAAGACAAGAATACAAATGTAAATAATTACAAAACCATAGTTAAATAGAAAAAAAAAATCATTGAATTACAATTCTATTACAATCCACTATTTTCTTTACTGATTTTAGAATTCCTAGTTCAGGATGAATTTGGTTTATGAGATCAGTTCTAAATTATGTTGGTCATTAATATTAAATTAAAAACAAAAACAATCTGGATTAAATTTAAAAAAAATATAGAATATATTGAAAATATTAAAAAACAAAATAAAAATGATTAACATAAAAGCAACATTTTTTTTTCTCTCTCCTCTTACCTTTTAAAAAAAAAGCAAGCCTTCTGTTTATAAATTTTTGTTTTCTCTCTTTCAGGAAAAAAACATTCATTTTCTGAATTAATATTCAAAATTTTGTTGTTTTTACTTCTCACAAATGTTTGCTGTGTTGATACTTACAATGCATTTTTGTTTATTTATTTGCAAATGTTTGCTGTTCTTTTTTTTGTTTTTCAAAAATAAAATTTTTTAGCATTCGACTATTCATTTCTTTGTATAGAACACTATTCTGAAACTACATTTATTCTTGCTGGCTTTTGGTTTAGACATTTTTTTTTTATTAATGTCTTCTCACAAGAACAGAATCTTGAATAAATAAAACTTAAAAGAAACAATTTTTTTATGTTTCATTGAATAATGTTCCTTTTTATGAAGTTATAATTTGCACATTTTAAAGTCTTAAAAATCAGTTAAATTTTATCTTCATTGCCCATTTGTTCAGTTCCAGCTGAGATTTTGAAGTCTCATTTTCAACACACTAGTTTCCCCTATTTGGAAGATTGGTGCTACATGATCTTTCTGCTCCAATTTAATTAACTACCAAAATCCAATTACTTAAAATTTATTTTATCAAATTTCAATACTTAGTCTCTGTACAGAAAATGAGAAATAAAAGGGATTGTCAGTGGTCAGGAATTAACACAAACAAAAAAATAGGATTATATGTATAATTTAAAAGCATTGCTAATGGTTTTTTATTTCTTCAGAAATCTATTATCAATGATTTTTCTCTAGGAATTTATTGAAAATCCCCCAAACTGATTATCAATGGTCAGGACTCAATGTAAGTGTTTCTAACAGAACAGTGCTTTGATATGTATAATATAAATGCTTTGATAATGATTGCATTATAAAAATGCATTGAAAAGTCAGGAATTAATACATGCATTACTGAATGAATAGTGATGTTCTATGTATAATTTGAATGTATTTACAAAGATTTTACTTTTAAGACGTTTGTAGAAATACAGTAAAAATAAGGAAATAAAAAAAGAAAACAAGTGATTATTAGTAGGCAGAATTTGATAAAAGTGTTAATAACAAAAAAAGGGGCCATTATTTGCATAATTTTAAGAATTAATTTTTTCCCATTATGCAGACTTTAATTTTTTGTCTAAAACTAATTACAATTTCTAGTTTAACCAAACTGTACAAATTTAACTTAATTTTTTTTTAATTGTAATTAAGCAAAGCTTTTTTTTTTTTTTTTTTTTTTAAGTGAATGACCTTTTTCTTGTGAGGCTGTACTACTTTCCAGGACTTATGACTTTCTCATTATTTTAAAATTGAAAACTGTCAAAATAACTTCACCTACTTTTGCAGCTGTGTGGAAAGTTTTCTGTGCGTGTTTTTTTTTTTTTTTTTTTTTTCTACAGGAGGTTATTTCTGGCACAGCTGTAAATATGATTCTGTTGAAACCACTCATTTTATTAAATTATTTTCTAAACTTGAGCATGAAAAATGTTTTATTGTGATTAACACCTTTGTCAAGAATCTCAATTGTAATTGTTCCTTAAAACTTGAAACAAATAATAGAATTTTAATACAGTGACACCTTGGCTTAAGGCATTTCAAGTTAAGTCATTTTTGAAGATATGTTGGTTTTTCTTAAATATTATATTGAAAAATAAAACTCACCTTAGGTTGTTTTACTTGGGTTTACGTTGACCATTAAAAATATTAGAAATGTCAAGACACTAAAATAACAATAAACACATAAAAATCATTGAAAACAAAATTAGTATAATACAATATGTTCAGCAGGTGTTCTTATTTCAAATTCCTGCCAACAGGTGGCACTCATGTGTCGTTTTTCACTCCAACACCAATTTTGAATTCAGACTTGTTTACATCTGTGCTCTGCCATTGACATTCTTTCAATTACATTTCAGTTATGATTTAGAATACATTTTTGCCCATGGTTCTGAAGAAAAGTCCCAGTGCAAGTGCTAATACTAAGCATAAGGCTATATTGCTGGAAGATAAGGTGGAAATTAATTATTTTATTCAGAATACTGTACATACATATCATAAATACTGTAATAGGCAATGGGGAGTGATTATTTGCAGTTTTTAGTGTGGTTATTTCAATTTAGTTGTCTTTCAAACTAAGTCGTGACCTTTGGAACCAATTAGCAACATAGGTTTTCTCAAATACAGTAGGACTTCATAATCTATGCTTCCACTTATCCATGTTTGGCTAAGTTAACAAAACTTTTGTCTTTTTAAACATCTATCAAATTAAAATTACTTAGGGAAATATATACCAAAGAAGTCGAATATAATAAAAAAAAAATCATAGCCATAATATAAGTCTTTAATAATAAAAGTATTTTGAAAATGTATAAAAAAATTAATCTGTTTAAATATTCTCAAAGCCATTAAAGTTTAAACTTTTCTCTGAAGTCAAATATCCTGTTTATGAGTGAAATATCAGTGTAGACTGGCTCCTCTAGCCTTCAGTGGCATCCATTCTAAGAGAAGGAAACTCTTAATTCCAAATCATGACAACAGGAAATCCTTCCACTATTTTTTCCCAAGAATTCATAGCAATTCTTAGATAATAAAGAACAGGGATGTGTGGGTGTTTATAATTGTCTATGTCAGAGATTCCCAACCTTTTATGTGCCATTGTCTACGTTGAACTATTTCAACATTCAAGCATTGAAAACCACAAAAAAATAAGATGAAGAAAATGACCAGATAAACAATTAAGCTGGATGTATGGGTTCATTTCCAGTCACGTTCATTACTTTCATTTAAGCATAAATACCCTTGGGAAATGTATGAATCTATCTCTTCATCTACCTCTAGCTATTGGTTAAATAGTGGTGCAGTCTGGTCTCTATAGCCTTGGTTGTCAACCAGTCTAGGAGAAGGACAACTCTGAATTCAAAACTGTATGTAACCCTGTATCATGTTCGTTCACATTGACTGAACAACTATGATCGGCCTCCTTTCCTTTTTATAAAAATTTTAATAATAGTTGGCAATAGCTCATCTAAGAAATTTGAATAATATTTTAAAAAAATAAACTTATGAATTTAGTTTATTAAACAAATTTGTTTTTTTTTGTTTTTGATCTGAGATTCACTAATGTGTGTTTTTTGCATTTTAGTATTAGTCTGTTTGTTATTGTTTTTCAAATTTCTGATTTGAGTTTGTTCTCATTGAGACCATATTGTGGACAAACATATTTTTAAAAAATATATATTTGTAAATAAATACCTGGGTTTACCTCTTTGTGATGTTCCACTCTGTCACTAAACGATTATGCTGATATTTCAGAAAGGGTTTGAGACCCTGAAGACCCTTGTTCCTGCCCTCCAAGAATCGTCATCTCTCAAAGAAAGCAAAGCATCAATGCTTTTTAAGGGTAAGTTCAATAATCTACTGAAAAACTGAAATGACTAATGTCACTAGTAAAAGTAAATTGGTTCGGTTATAAGTAGGAAATAATTTTTTTTTTCCTAATATGTATTTATTAGTTAGATTTTTAGTTAAATTGTTGGTAAATTTTCTGTTCTTTATCATACAGTGCTTTTTCTGTTTCTTTACCCTTCATTGATATGTCAAATAAAATTGTCATTGAAAGAAAGATTTTATTTTTTCTGGTAGGTGGGGATTATACATGATGTTCTGTGGGGGTGATATTCAGGTTGGAATTAGGAAAGCTTTTAAGATTTGTTTATTTTTTTATTGTTATACATCTAATTTTTTAAAAGTCATAACTCCATTTCAAAGTGTTAGCTTCTATCATTTTGTAATAATCATATTAAGTAAAATTTACTGGCGCCTTTAAAGACTAATAACCTTTAAAGTAATTTTATCACTTGCATGGTACTTTTAATTTTGAATTATGTGTTTGTTGGGAAATATGCAATAATGATAAAAATTATATATAAAAAGTGATGAAAAACGTGTGTATATATATATATATATATATATATATATATATATATATATATATATATATATAAACTGGTTTTAAATTTAAGTGTTCTGTTTCCCGAAAAATCCTACCATGGTAACAATTTGAAATTTATGATGAGTATTTGTTTTGGGGAGTATAAATATAAGAGGTGATGGACCAGCTGGTCTTGAGGGGTGTTTTGGTGCACAGCTCTTGAGGGGGTCAATAAGATGTGAATTGAGATTTTGTTGCTTTACTGCAAAAAAAAAAATATATTGTGTGGACATAGAAATCAATACTGCATAGTGTCTGTCAGTTTTAATTTCTGTCTATATGGTATATATCTGCATTCTCTGATACTGATCACTATTCTCTCATAAATATAGCAGATTTTAAATATATTAAAAGCATATATTGGGAACAAATGCTTGCTAAAATTTTTATAGTACATCTAGTATCTGAACAAATATAGTCAATATAATCATTCATGCGCCAAATAAAATGTAATGACCACTTGGGGGTTCTTTTACAACATTCTAGGAGTTTATTAGGACCCTCTCCATTTCTGAGATTTTGATTTTTTTGATGGCCATTTATTTATATCTTAATGTTGAAAATTTTATGGAAAAATTTTTGAGTTTGTTAAAGAATTTTCCTTAGACATTGATGAAAATTTATTTTATTTTTTCAATGTCTTATTTTTGGTTATAAACATTTACCAATCAATTCATTTATTGAAATTCACTATTTATTAGATTTTCTCATTTTGTTTAATTTCCCCCAATCATTTTCAGAAATGTATTGAAAAACCAGGAAAAAATTGTTCAAGAATTTATGCAAGCATTACTGAAAGAATAGGACTATTATATGTATTGTGTAAATTCACTGGAAGTGCTCAGAAGGGATAACTATTATCAGCAGAGGTGTGTAGATTTAGTTCAAGTTCTGAGTGAGATTGTATTCATTTCAAATTAAATCACTTGGAAAGTCATGGATTCACTTGACAACTAAGTAAAATAGGAGAAATTTGAAGCCATTTTTAACAATGTAAAAAGAAAATGTAAAAAGAAGTCTAAGAGAAGATAACTCTTTCATAAAACTAAAACCCTGAATCCCAAGTTCAAGTGAAGAAAAGGACGGCTAAATATCTAAGCTGTCGATTCCATGCATTACAAACCAATTAACCACTGAAACTATATTTCTGGCTCTATACTATAGATGGAGTTTGTAAGAACCAGTCATACTGAAAATTAAAATGAAGAATTCTTTTTTTCTAAAAGAATATTCTGTAGTTTAATTTTTTGACAAGATACAGATCACTTAAATTATAAGAAATATTTTGGGGTGTTTCCCATAGTCTTTATTAAAAAATCTAGTCTAGTGCATTGGAAAGTCCTGTTCATACATTCTTTTTCTTTTAAATTTATCGATTCAAGACTGCAAACTAAGGGAAGTAACTTTGCTCAGACTAGTTCCAACCTATGCTGTCCCATATGAACCTCATATTTCTCAATGAAATGATTTTTGGTTTCAATTTAATATTTTTATATGAGGGGTTTTATATCAGTTTTGAGACGAGATCTCCTTAAACTAAAAGTGTTCAAAAAGATGCTTTTAAAATGCTCGTTCAAATGACTCTTTTCTTTGTTCATGCATTTTTCTTTATTTGTTGTTTTTCTAATTTGAAATTATTTTCTCTTTCCCACCCCCTTTGAATTTTTTTCCTTTTGAATTTTATTTTATTTATGTATTTGTATACATGTTTATATTTTGACAATGTGTGTATATGTTTTTTGCTGTATATTGAATATATTTTCACGAGCATGTCTTTTTGAAATGTTTTACATATCAGAGATCTTACATCAAACTGTCGTTTTTTTCTGTTGTTCCTAAACCAACCAGAAAAAGCACTGTTGTAGTTTATTGCTTCATTGGGATTAGTTAGTGGTTTGTGTGCTAGCAACAGGGTGCCCATTGAATTATTTCTTCATATTTTTGGAAAAAAAAAAAAAGAAAAGGCTTTCTTGTTAAAAATTAAAAGAAAATTCAATTGTTCCCAGATTTTTTTTTTTTTTTTGATTTTTTTTTGATTTTTTTAAGATTTTATAATTCTTCTTAATAGTTGTACTGGAGTTAAATATTAGTAGCAAAATAATTCTTGAGATTAAAAAAAAAAATGTAAATTTTTAGGTATATCTGTTAATCATAGTAATAAAAATGGACAATAATCAAAAGTCAAGTGCAGAAAAAAAATTACAACTACTCTAGTTGGTACGAAACTAGAAATATACCAAATGCAAGAAAAATAAAAAGGAAAAGAAGCAAAAAATGGAATAAGTTAATTGGTTTCATGCCTTACTCTTTAGAGCTCAAATGAGTTAAATAAAATAACTAAATATGGATTTTGTTCCTAAAGCCCACACATGTATGGCTTGTTGATTCATGATGATTTTGAGGTTAAGACTGTCATTTAGGATACTGATATAATTTTTTTCAAGGCATTGAATTCCTTAAACTACTGAAGACGTTTTTCATCCATTTTCCTTTCAAGATACTGAGGCTCCAAGATTTTCTAGAGCTTAATTCTATCAATGGCTATTAAGTCATCTTCTCTAGTAAGGTTAAAAGGCACTATGTTCTCTGGATTGATGGACTCATCATCCTTATAGCATCTATAAAAGCTCTGCAGGCTTGATGTTTTACACAGCTGTTTATTTTGGGCTCACTACATAGCATTATTCCTGCCTTTGTAGTCAATCATGAATAGAACAATGAATATTATGTAACCAACTGTGATGCTGTTTTGAGCCGTTGCTATATTTCCTGATGAGTTTCTTTTGTTTTTTTTCTATGCTACCTAGACTTTATGAATTTAAGTGCAGTACTAGATTAGCAACAAGGTCCCATCGGTTTACAGTTGAATTGGCTAGATGTAACCATAAGTTGTATGCTAACAGTTTTTTTCTCACACTTCTTGCTTGTGGAATTCTCTTCTGGCTTCTTGCTTTCCAGACAAGTTTGATCTACAAAATTTTAAATGTAATATCAATCGTTATCTTCTTGATTACTCTTCTGTTGTTCTCGCTTTTCAATAATGCTTCTTTTTTCTAACTTTTTTCACACCTTATGTCTTAGTGGCTTTACTGCCTTACATGGGGGTGAACTCAATTAAAAAAAATACATAGACACATCATGGTGATTTTCTAAGCATAGCTTAGATGTGGCATAAGGTCGAAAGCAGTATCGAACTCATTATACTGTCATAATTGATCTAGCGAGGCAAGCTTGCTAACCATTACACCACATTGAAATGCACTACATAAACATTTATTTTTCTCATTTTCACTTTTCTTAACTCTACTTTCCCTTAAATGACTTGTATTAATCCTTAATACCCACTGTAAATTCTGGTTTTAGTTATAAAAATAAAAATAAAAAAACTAGTATTAATTATATATTTATAAAAATCCAGTATTAATTACAATTTTCTAGCTATAACCCATTAATGTCTATCATCCCATTTTTGAGACAGTAGCATTTAATTAGTTAACTCACTCAATAACCCTCTACCTTAAGTGGCTCTTGAGCCTTGTCTTGGGTGGACAATTAGTAAAAAAAACAAAAAAAACATGCCCATTGTAAGAAATAACTAACCTAGTTACCAATGAAGAACAAAACAGGATTATATATTTTTTTAACTAATTGTTCACCCAATACAAGGCCCAAGAGCCACTTAAAGTAGAAGGTTACTGAATAAGGTTCTTGTATAAATGTAAAAGAAAAGGTAAGAAATTCAGATTATGAGTATATGTAGAAAATATAAGTTAACGCTACACTTGAAGAAATTAACATTGTAGTGATTGAGGAAGCATCCTTTCTCAACACAGTACCGGTTCTTGGGAAGAAGTTGTCTGAATGGAACTTCCTCCTTACTAATGGAATATAAAGGTTATAGAGATGATTCATCCCAGTGTACATGGCTGTCTTAGCTGTGAAAGTCAGAACTGCTGGAACTAAGAAATGTAGTAAAGTCCAAGGGTACCTTACCTTGAATATCCCTTTTAGAGTAATGTTCAATTTAATATGCGAAGTACCTTGTTTCAAATATATATGGATGTCTTTTTTACAGGGTCAAACATCAGAAAAGAAATTAAAAAGTAAACATTTATTTAAAAAATAAAAATTGAAAATATTATCAAATTAACAAAGAAATAATTTAAAATGGGTGCAAATTCCAAGCAATGCTTCGTAAATAACATGTTTTTTGCATTGGACCGTAATGAAGCATTTTCCGCTGAAGTTTTGCATTGATATCAATATATATTTTCTTCATTTGTACTGCATCTCCTTGATCTAAATCACACTTTTTCTTCTTTGCTAATGTTTCTTCCTTTTTCAAATACGCAATTAGTTTCCACAAATTTGGCTTCATCTTAGTCATGCAGCTCTATACTGCATTGTCAAAGCCTTCTACGCTATTGTTGGTTGTTAGATTTACTTGATAACAAGGTATTTCACATATCAAAAAAAAAAAAATGTGGCAAAAGTGTCTTACGGCAAAAATCCTATATGGCAAAGTTTTCTACAGCAAAAATTCCCGAGGCGAGTTTTCCTACGGCAAAAATGTTCATGGCAAATGTTCCTAGAAGTTAAAATCCATACTTGAAAAATCAGAGTTCTGTCTACCTATGGCCACAAGTAGTGTAACCTGTATTCTTCCACTCTCACATGAATCATCTCCCACTCAGCATACAAACACTAACAGACATAAATAAAAATGCCCACTAGATGCTCAAATTCTCTCTCTTTCTCTTACATATTCATACACTTTCAACCAACTCTTGGATCGACCAACCAGAATTTTGATACAAAACACACAAAAATTATACACATGAAGGCTGCTGCTTGACAGGACAAATACATGCGAGATCTGCTTAGTCATTGAAAAACAATGTAAAAATAAAAAGTACCAGAATTTTCTTTTCTCTTCCATATTTCATTTTCTGATGAAGCTTAAATAAAAAGTAAAACATATTAAATTTATAGACATTACTTATTTGTTCCTTATTTTATCCTATCACACGTGTGTGTGTGTGTAAAAAAATTCAGATAGAATATGTGTGTAAAAGGACAATATGAATAAAGACTAAAGGAAAACTTATCTTAGACAATGCATTTCCTCTTCCAAGAAATGTGTCGGCTAAAATAAATTTTACTTTTGTTTTTATTCATATCTCTCTCTGTATGTATGTGTATATATATATATATGTGTATGTATATATATATATATATATATATATATATATATATAATCTATATGTATAGAAAGAGACTGATATAGATATATCAAAATAAAAAGAAAGAACAGTCAGATTTATAATCCAGAGTTCTTTTACTTTTTTCAAAGGTTATTCTGCATCGCTTGAAAATGGAACTGAACTTTAAATTTTAAGTTTAATTTAAGATTTAAGTTTTTGTTTCAAAACATGGTAATTTTTGTGTTGTTATGAATACATAGTTTTAAACATATTTATAATAATTATAATATTTTATATATGGGAGAAACAACATGTATTATTTCTCCAGTGTAATGAGTGAGCATAATTTCAACTTAAGAATTGCTACTTTAATTAAGAGTAAGCAGTTTACTAAGACAAAAGTGTATAGAAAGTGTTTTGATTGCTAGATCATCCACAATAAATTTGTGTCCAGGTTTTTACAGCATTTCACCTTTCTTGATAGATCTTCTATTATCACAATGTGCGATACTTAATAAAAAAAAATTTAATGTTTAAAATTTCAGTATCCCCACTCCTTGGGCATATATGTAGTTATATCGATGTAAACATTACTTTAGTCAGATGAAGTTTGAAAGGATGAAACACATCACATGAAAAATTTTTCAACTTTGTCATTAATTTTATAATAATATATATATATATATATATATATATATATATAACATAAAATAAAGATAAATATATCTATAAAAGGACAATATCAATAAGTCTTCCTTTTGTCTTTATTTTATATATATATATATATATATATATATATAAAATTAATGACAAAGTTGAAAAATTTTTCATGTGAAGTGTTTCATCCTTTCAAACTTCATCTGACTAAAGTAATGTTTACATCGATATAACTACATATATGCCCAAGGAGTGGGGATACTGAAATTTTAAACATTAAATTTTTTATATTATATATATATATATATATATATATAACACACACACACACACTGCATAATAACCAATTAGTCCATGAACTTCATTTTTATATAATGAAGATTATTTTCTTTTGAATGTTTTCTAAAATAATTTTCTTTTTACCTTAAAATTGCTTGATGCTATCTAATTGTGAAGTGAAAAATAGTTGTGTTGTTCTTAAATGATCTATAAGATTGTCTTCAAACTCTATATATTTTCCTGAGGTATTGACAAATCTGAACTCATTCTGAGAATTTCATATCACGTGCATAAATGTTTTGTCTATCTTTGCAATATTTCCTTGCTTCAAGTAACACTTTTATCAACACTGGATTTGTGTACATCATTAATTTAAAAAAAAAAGAAGAAATCTGAAGTTAGTAAAAAAAACAAAACCCCAAAACAAACCAAGAAAGTAACCTGAAAAGTTGTTCACAAAGTTGTATCTTCCTTTCAGATTTCTCTATTTGTAGAAAAAAAAAAAAAAATTTAACTATCTATTCATTCTCTAGTTTTCAAAAAATGATGCTGGAAACTTTTGCACATTTTTTTTTTTTTTTTTTTTTTTTTTTTTTAATAATGCCTATGTCCTTTCAAAATGTAGGCAGTCAAATCTCTCTACAGATTACATTTATTACCTATGAATTACCATGGGTCCTTAAGAAAAATAGTGGTGTGGTTTTCTCTTGCCTTTTCTACAGGACTAAATTCAGAGAAGACCTTTTAGACTGGCTGCTACACAAGGTTAGAATGTTCAGTCTACCTTGCTACTTAACTCGTATTATTTGGGGAGAAGAAATGATTTGATGCCCCTTTTCCAAGGGGATTAATTCTAAAACAACAGACTAAGCCAGAATTTGATCTCGGTTTGTCAATTACACACTAGTAGCTCTTATATTAGACACACAATAATCGATAATAAAGAAATTTGAGAAATATTATATAAAAATTATAAGACACCAATATATGTATAGGTATTGATACCAGAGGTTAGTGTTCAAGCCCAGGTAATGGTCAGGATTTCTAATGACTTTTTTTTTTAAGTATTCTGCTTTTTGAAATTAAATTAATCTTTCATTCACCAGTAGTTTAACATCGCCTGCAGAGACACATTTATGGTGTTGAAATATAATTGCAATTGTGTAGCGATTTTTAACTTGTTTTAATATCCTAAAATAAAAAATATTTAGCTCTACTATGTAGTGAGCCCTCTTTTAAACTAAATTAAATGTTACATACAATGGAATAATATTACATTTGTTCTCATTTTACCTGGGGAGATATATATGCATGCATATACTGCTTAATAACCAATAAGCCCATGAACTTCATTTTTATATAATGAAGAAGATTATTTTCTTTTTGAATGTTTATATAAATAACTGACATTCACACCATTGCTGCTTGGAGGATTGGTGCAATACAATCTTCCTGCACCATTCTCTCTTGTTTGGCCTTGTTCTAGATTAAATTAAACTTAAACTTAGAATGTCTCTAAGACATCTACTATCCTCCTGATTACTCTTTCTGTTCCTGCTCATTAGTAATATTTCTGTTTCTAATTCTTCCACACCACCCAGTAATCCCTTGTGCCTTAGTGGCTTTACTGCCTTACATGGGGTGGAATTGATTGGAAAAAAAAAAAAGGTTAATTCTTTTGCAAATATTTCAAGGCATGTTTTTGTTGCTGATTTACTCCAGTTACAGAAATAAAAAAAAAAAATAATGAGCTGAAATACATTCATTAAAAATTATTTAATCAATTATCCTAAGTGAACTGATTTTAATTTTTTTTTTTTTTTTTTTTTTTAATTTTTCTTTTTTTAATTTTTCTTCTAAATCAAAAAATTTTCAAATGTCGAAACCTATAAACTTATCAATGGGCACTCTAAATATGGTTCACGTTAGGTCTCCTGTACTCAGGGGACAACCCTTACCCAAAATTCTGACTCGTCTCCATATTGTAGCGGTGGAACATTGTCGGCAGATTCAGGCCGAGTGTAAGGCTCAACAGGAGGAGGCATGTGCTCTGCGGCAAGAGTTAGGTTCCTTGAATGAAGACATTGAGTAAGTCGTTTCTTCAGCATTCTATGCGTTCATTGTCCCAATTATCTCCCCTGCTACTGAAGCAGGGATATTTTTTGCCTCTGATCCTTTTTTTTTTTTTTTTTTTTTTTTTTTTTTTTTTTAATCTTTTTAAAAATATTTTTCTTATAAAGTATGTATTTTTAACGTTGTTTTTAATTATTGTTTTCAAAACGAGTTTTTTCTGTCTTTATCATTTTTTTTAATATAACATTTTGCCCATTTTTGTTAAACTATTTTCTGTGCGTTAATATTTTTAGTTATTAGCAAATTGCTAGTGTAATGAATGTTCTAAATTATTATTTATTTTTAATCAGTTGTCATGGTTAATTCAATTATTTTTATAGAGAGAATAAATAAATTTATTAATTTCTTTTTTTTTTTTTTTTTTTTTTTTGCATTTTATTGGAGAATATTTTGCAAATTGTTCTTTTTGTTACAAATAAGAATTACAAGTCGCTGGCAATTTCAGATCTATATTTTCACAGGAATTTGGTTATTTTAATTAGAAAATCCTGTATAAATAGTTTAAAATACTCAATTTAAAAAAAAAAATATAACATATACTATGCTATATAATACACTAATTAATTTTTATAATATAAACTTAATAATTTATAATATAAACTTTTAATAAAAAAAACTTAAAAGTGTAGACCCTATTTTTGATGAGAAAAAAACGTTTTCATCAAAGTCTTTACTGCTTGGGCCTAGTGTCAACTAATTACACCAGTTTAAAATTTTTAAGTAAATTTTTATTGCAAAATTAAAACATATCTAACGATAAGTGTTCAAACAATAAGCAATCAGGAATAATCGTGGAAAGGATCAATAAGCAGTCGCCCTAATCATAGAAAGAGAATCTAAGAATTTTAAAAGAAAATTTTAAATAATTATGTTGATTCAAATATTTCACTTCTTGTTATCTGAATTCTTACATCTAAACTAGTTAAAACATAAAACCATAGAACGTATGTTATTGCTTAGGCAACCTGTGACATATTGTAAAATAACTTTATCTAATAATGAAGACTGGTTTAATTGAACATTATTGCTGATTTCCAAGTATCATCCAAACTCTGAACTCATTATTTGTGTTGCTTTTGTTGTTACTGCAATGTTTCAACCTATCCATTCTACAGCCTTCTTCAGGTACACCACATAAGGGAGGAGAGGAATCAATTATCTACAGAAACTGTTGGCAAAAAGACATTGTTTATGTGTAATATACTTCCTAGCAAAATATGCTACACAGGTGCAAAAGAGGAATAAGTCAGTGGAGTACCTCCAGAAAGGGTATATTTGGTTTGATGGAAGTAAATTTTTTTTTCTCCCACTGTGTTTGCTCCTGCTTGGCCCAAGTGGTCAATTCTGTCCTCTTGATGAACTGACTGCAGAAACCAAAACTAATTAGCACAGGTGACGCTGCTGTTGCATTTGAATAGCAGTGATTGTGCTGACTAATTTGAATGCCTTGAATAACTGTAAGAACTAAATGGTGCTGTTGTTCTGATTTTGTTGACTGTGTGCACATAAAAAGGAAGAAGGCTTTTATCGGTATGCAAACTTTTATCTGTCTGAAGAACCTTGATGATGCAGAATGTTGCAACAACAACAAGCAGTATTGTTCTCAGCAACTGATAGTTCCCCAATTATATATATGGGGGTGTCTCTTTAGTTCTCTCTCGGCTGAGCAAAGTAAACTCCACTGATATTATTTATATACCTGTATGATAAATTAATATATAGCACTTCCTTTAATTTTCTCATTTTTCAGTGATGTCCTTTATCTATTATTTGAACTACATTCCAAAGAGATATACTATGAGTTCATTTCTCTTTAGATATGATCTGCCATACCAAACCATTGTACCTTTCAATTTTATATGGCTTTCTGATGTTCCTTGAGTTAGAACAATGTTTTTATTTTTTATCTGTTTTATTCTTTTACATATTTGTGTTTGATGTTATAAATGCAATCATTTATGAAACCTTTCTCTTATGAGAGACCAAACTTAAGTTGGTTGCAATGAGTAATAAGGTGCAGATGGTGTAAAGGTTTGGAATGAGAATGTGGGGAATCGAATTCAAATTCCAGTTGAGATCGTTATATCCACTTTTGCACATATATTGTTGAGAAAGCTATTCCCCTCTCAGCTATGAGTTAAATAGTAGGGCAGACTGAACTCTCTAGCCATGGTTGGCAACCAATATAGGAGAAGGACAACTCTGAATTCAAAAACCGTGTGTGTCCCAAGTGGGGCATATACATCAACTGTAACTAAGGTCTGCTCAGCATAGTTGCAGTATAAACCACAGGTTGGCTCTGTGGCTGTTGAAAAAAAAAAAAACACAGATGGGCCTGGGCAGGGTATCCACAGAAACAAGCAACTATACTGAAGTCACCCTGATTTACAGCATGCTTTCAAATGGAAACAGCTCTGATGATGATGCAAAGAGTGGTTGTACATTTGTAAACAAATATATTATACAACAACAAAAAGCAATATAAAGAATTAGTTCTGCAGTCCAAACATTTCTTGTAATAAGAATGACACTTCTCAAAATTAATTTGTTTGATAATTATGAAATTTGAATAACTCAAAAAATATTATTGTATTGTTTACTGGCAAAATTTAAACTAAATGCTATAATTTATTCAGAGACGGTTACTATTGATAAGTATATATTTTTTTTAATAAACCACTATCATAGAGATATTTATATCAAATATATGAGAAAAACCCAGTAAAAAAAAAAAAAACAGCCTTTTATGCCAAAAGAGGACAAAATCCCTCATCTAAGAGTGTAGAAGAGTTCCTGCTGGGTGTTGGAGAATGCATTTATTTCAAATGATCATTCATAATTATGTATACATAAATGGAGCATGAAATAAGTGTATATATTGGATATTGTGTTTATTGTGATTATTGGATATTGTGCATATAAGTATATATATATTGGATATTATTATTATCTCTATTTGATATTAAAAAGTTCTTGAATTTTCAAAGTTAAATTTGTTTCTTTATATATATGAGACTTATTTATTCATGAGACTGGGGTTTTGTCCATTTTTATTCACAGGATCTTTATAGTATTAATGAGAGGGAAGTGTTTTAACTTTTAGATTCACAAAAAAAAAAAAAAAAACTGTATCAAAAGATGCTTTTTTTCTCTTGACACTGCTACTTCAACTCCCTTGCCAGTTAGAGTACTAAAATGATGTGATTTAATTAAAAAAAATAAATCAAATAGAGCAAAGAAATTATGGTATTTAGTTTAAATTATGTCAATAAAATATAAATTATCCCAGTATTATATTTTTTGACTTATTCACATTTCAAACTTTTACTAAATTATTAAATTAAATAAATAGTTTGTTTCATTAAAATGATAATGAAAGTGAAACAAACCTTCTCCTTTGAAAAAAAAAATTAAAAAAAATGTTCATATAAGTAATTAATATTTGATTAATAAGAAAATGTCATCTAGTTTAGATTCCAAGGTAAAAAAAATGATTTTTTCCAATTAATTTAGAAATGCTTTTATATTTTCTAAACAGGATTTTAAGAAGAAACAATTCTTAAAATGCAAATGAATTCAGTTTATAAGCAAAAAATGAATAAAAAGAATGTTAATAGTAGATTTTAGGCAGATTTAAAGAGTATATTTTTTTTCCAATATTCATAGTTCATATTGTAGTGTATAGTTCTAAAACAGGCAAATGAATGCAAAATGTATAGAGGAGAAAAAATGAGGCAGAAATAAAAATATGTAAAGTAGTTGGCCACAGTTAAATATAATTGGCAGAAATGCCACACAAAATTGAGAGAATTTGCAAATAGCAAGAGAAAGAAAAGAGGAGAACAGGACAAACAATATATGCAAAGCAAAACAATAATAATAAGGCAAAAGATTCACAAACTGAGAATGGTGTTAACACACAAAAGGGGATATAGACACGTGATCAGAGTGTGCTGAATTCAAGATAAGAACAAACAGATTTAAGTCCGACAAGACTGAGAAGATTCGTATATTATTGGTTAGAAAAAAATCCAAGCATGCATCTGTGTGTTTTGTCTTATAAATTTGTGGAGTGGGAAAGTTTTTGCAAAAATTCCTATGCAACACTAGATAACATCTTCAGCCATCTTTGTTCCCCTTCACTCTAACATAAGAAAAACAGCCATTCAGTTTCTATCAGTCAAATATGTATGTCTCTTTCTCTCTCCCTCTCTCTCTCTATATATATATATATAAATATATAAGCTACTTATTTATATACATATATTCTAATTCATTAACATATACTTTTGTTTCTGAAATATTAGTTATTGGAGCTATACTCCTTATGACTATTATTAATTGTTATTTATTTATTATTCAATATATATTTATTATTCAACATACATTCTAATAAATTTATTAGTTTATTCTTCTCCCAGCAGGTGACAAATATCTAATTGTTTGTTTCTTGGCTTCAGGTTACATTTCCATATCTATCTATCTATCTCTCTCTCACTATATATATATATATATATCTCGCTCTCTCAATATATATATTTATATACTAATGCATCTTTATTCCAGATGGGTTATACTTGTTGTTGCTTAAATATACCTACATATTTGCATACACCACACATATATGCACTACTTACATATATATATATATACATATGTGGGAATTACTGGTCCAGAATAAGGTCACATCAAAATAATTTAGTCGAAATAAGTGCTGAATTATCTAACTCTAATATTTGTCATCTTTATGCTAAACTGTAATTTAGGTTGCAAATTATAATTCCCCACATCTCTCAACTAAAAATGCCTAAAATCTCTAGTTTGAGAGATCAGGAATACAAATAGGGGCTATTTTGAAGCCCAACCTAAAGATTTTTTTTACTGAGTATGGGCTTGCATGGATGTGCAGGCTCAAAACTCAAAAACAGCAAGTCTATGGCATTCACTTTTGTTCAAATAACCTTGTGACAGGTATGAATACTTTTCTGCTTATCCCAGCTATTGGGTAGATTAGTCTCTCCAGCTGGTCCTATACTTGAGCTTTAACTAAGATTAGCCCAACATAGTTGACTATTAACCAATGGTTTCAGGGCTGTTGCAAGTGTCTTGTGCCCCTGCAACCAAATCTTTGATATGGGCCCAGCCCCAAATCTCTGATATGGGCCCAGCCCCAAATCTCTGATATAGGGTCTTCCCATTCTACTACATCTCAATTTTCATAATGCAATATTCATATAAAATAAAAAATTTTATTGTAACCTAATTATGTACAGTAATTGATTATATGCAGGATAGGTGAACAATTCAACTAGAAAAATTGAAATTAAATACAATGTATCTAAATACAAATTAGAGACATGTCAAATAGATCATTCCAGTTTGAATAATTCAACAATTTTTTGCGGCAATTTTTAAAATCAATTTGAGATTTTTCTTGTTAAAAAGTTGAAGAATTTTAACACATTCAACATTATGGATGAAAAATAGTTAATTTTATATTCCGTGTTTTTTCAAGACTTAGCATGAGCAAAACCAATTCATGGATTTGGAAGAAAAATAGATTCCAGAATGACGTCAAAATCTTCAAAAGTTTTTCATCCTTTAATAATCAGTTGTACTTAGTTTATAATGTATATAAATGTAGGTAAAAAAAAAAGAAGCAAAAGTTAATAAAATAGTGAAGTTTACAAAGCACTGACCAGAGCCTCCAATCAGGCTTGGGGCCCCACAGTCGTGGGATTTGAGAAGGAGTAGTATGCACTGGCTCTAAGTGGTTGTCTTTGTGTTGAAAAAAACAAAAAAACAAATGTGTCTGAGCAGATGGGCATGCTTGGAAACAAGCAGCCATACTGAAGATAAGAAATCATGCCAAATTGTAATGTGCCTTCAAATTGAAACAGCTCTGATGATTGGCTTTCATTGTTATTCTGATGATCAAATTAGGGAAGTGCTTACGTAAATTTTTCACTCTTCACTCATTCTTGACAATAATCTTCTGCATTCTTTGTCTTGTTTTATGAACTCATAATAAATGAAACCTACCATATTCCACCAACTACTCACCAAAGCATTACATGACTAGAGCTTTGGTTTAGATGTTGACACACATTTTTCATTGAGAATCCAATTTTTTTTTTTCCAAAAAAAAGATAAAAGAATTAGTTTTACAATTAACTTTTGTCAATAATGAAGATTAACAAACTTAATTAACAAATAACTTTAATTTTTGTGACATTTGGATAGGCTTTTATTTTCTATCTTCTACAATGCAACATTTCTTTTCAAAGAACCTAATATATTTCTTTAATTTCTTAGAATTAAATATATAAAATTGTTAAGACAACTTGCATAAAACCTTAGGGTCTTTGACTGAAAAAAAAAGTGGGATAAAAAAAATAATCTAGCCTCATGAACAGTAATAAAAAGAAATCATCATTTCATATTCAATCCATTCTGACCTTAGCAACGTATATGCAATATATATATATATATATATTCTAAAAAAGTAAGAAAACGAAGTCTACTTAATATAATTCACACACAAACACACAAACATCTATACATAGCTATACTACTTTTATTTGTAGAATATTATCATTTTAGCCATGTTTGGTAACAAGACTGTTTCTTTACACAATTTTTGCATTTAGATATTTTTCCCCAAATTTGTCAATGTTTATGAAACCTATATAATCACAGGTAGAATTTGTTAAACAAATATATCAAGATTTTCTTTTATTCAAATGTATACAACATTTAATTTATTGTGATGAATATAACACTGCAAATACTGAAATCATGTATTAGAATTACGCACAATTTCCATAGTTCATTTTTACATGAGAACAATTATAATATTTAAAGAAAATTATTCTTTAATAATTGTTCTTCTTGAAATCTCATACAACTTCATAGGCATGTCTAGAAGATGAAAAAAAAAAGCAGATTTTAATTCCTCTCACAGAAGAATTTATAATAGCCCACTTTTGCTGAGAGTTTGGTTTAATTTAAGAAGGTAGGGTTTGTTTACAAGGCCATAAATGAATGAAAATTACCAGAGTAACATTTATGGAATTTGGTGGTTTAACCACAAAATTTTTAACCCCAAATGAATTATAATTTATTTTATTTATCTTTTTAAGAATGAGTTTTGCACTCATTTTGTTTTGTTGTGCATCGAAAACCCTGAAAAAGAATTAATATTCATGAATTAATGCAAACATTACTGAGAGAATTAGGTTTATATATATTATATATATATATATATATATATATATATATATATATATATATATATATATATATATATATATATGATAGGCCTTTGCAAGACCATCATGCAAAGCACCATTGAATGTGGATGTAGGAAATTAAACCAACACAAAACTGGTTGTACAATGGCCAAATATGACTACACCAGAATTGCTGATATCTGCCATTGATAGACCATTGTGGAGGAGATTCAGTGTGGCTTTACATTTGGACCCCCCCATGATTACAAAAGTCAAGAGGAGGAGGAGGATGATGATATATGATACGTTCACCTTTCATCCAGGTCACACAGCTGTCTGGTCTTTTGAACAGGAGTAGAGCTATATCCCTTGTTCTCGTTTTGGGACTGGGTTTCTGTTTTCTTCTAAATACTACTTCATTCTCTTTCAGTCCCATTGCTCATTGCATCTTAGTGGCATTGTCACCTTGCTTGGGGTAAATTAATTAAAAAACAAAAGGCATCAAAAATTAGGGAAAAAAGGATTGTCAGCAACCAGGAATTAATACAAGCATTGTTGACAGAAAATGGCCCTTATATTTATAATATAAATTTATAATTAATATTTCTTTCCTATAGAAATGCATTGTAAATAATTTTACAATTGAAATCACTTAGAATGAGAAAGAAAACTAATATCAATAGTCAGGAATTAATGCAGAAATTTACTGAGAGAATAAGAACGTATGCATTAATTATTCATTTTTTAAGTTTTGGAGATTCAAATATCTGAATGGATGTGTAATGTCTTGTATCCAAAAGTTTCAAATGTCAGTTTATAGATTTTTTTTTAATTTTAAATGCTTGGAACATTTTAATTTTATTAATTTTATTTTAGTGAATTTTATTATTACTATTATTTTATTTATTCTTCTAATGTTCATTTTTCATTTAAAAGAAAAACAATCAACTCATCCCTCATTTTATTTTTTTATTGTAGGTTTTCAAACATATTTCAAATATATATATATATATATATTTATATATATAAAAAATTAAAGAGAAAAGTTTATGAACCATTATTTAATTATATTGCTTGTCTTTGTAGGAAACTACAGGCCCAGTTGCCTGATTCTGGAGTGGATCGAGTCCATCGGCCTCGAGCCAACTTGAAAGACATGTTTGATGAATACATCACAAAGCGAACCAAAGAAAACTGGAAATTTTTTTTTGTATCCTTCCATTATAAATAATCTTAAAAACCAGAAACATTGGACATCATATACTTTTTGGCTGTAAATACACATGCATAGGGAGTATTTAAGATTTTTGTAAGTATTGCTGAAGAGTAATTATTTTTTACTGTTATTTTTTGCTTTGATGTTTTTCTTCTTGAATATAATTCTTTAATAATGGAAATCCTCTATTTTATGATAACGGAAATCCTCTATTCTTCATTTGAAATGGAAACCCGAATGCATTTGTTTTTTAATCTTGACTACCTTGATTTTATATAGTGATTTTCTAAGCATAGCTTAGATGTGCCACAAGGTTGAAAGTGTGGGGCACTCAGTGAAGATCAAACTCACTTGTAATTGATCTAGCAAGGCAAGTTTCCTAATCATTACACCACATCAAAGTGCCTAAATGATTTTCTGAGCACAAGGCCAAAAATGTGGAGCACCCGGTGCGGATCAAACTTACTACTTTGTCATGATTGATCTAGTGAGACTATCTTGCTAACTATAACACTATGTTGAAGTGTCCATACCTTGAATTACATGATTAAAAGCAATTGGTGTTTTTGGAGATTTCTTTTTAAAATTTCATTATGCTACTGTTTCAAGAATTAGACACAAACACCATAAGATAAACACAAAACACCCACTAGAATTAAAACCCATATATGTACATACTGACACCGCCTTCCTAAAAAATGGATGACATTTACTTAGTCAAAACAAACAAGATAGAATTCAAAATATCGAAACATGTTGAATTTATAAAAGTTTTTCTACTCATTCCTTATATATAGTAGTGGCATCCTACTAGTTCACACAAACTGATTCTTAAAATCATAAAAGCTTAGTGAACTTGTTGTTGGATTATCCAAAAATAATCTTATATATTAATAGCCGAGGGTCTAGGTAAAATGTTAGTGACACTATGCTTGTGCACATGCCTAGTGAAACACTAATAGACACACACCTATCATTTTGAAGTTAAAAATGTGGCAAATCTTCTAGTCGTAAACATCATTACCGATCAATAGTATCATAAACTGCAGGTCATTGTTGTTAAATCCAAGAGTTTGCAGGAATTATCAGCCCAACCCGCTTCTAACTTTGACATGTCACTTTGTTGACTTGGTAAAGTTTGTTTTACTGATTTGGTAAAGTTTGGCACAAGGCTAATGTTGGTGGTTCTTGTCAGCAGATAATCACATGGGGTGTCTCGCATTTGGTATCTAGAACTCTCTCACTCTCGTCTGACCATCTCACTTCAGGGCATTTGTAGTTATTGACATTTGCCCAAATTAGTGCAGGGCATGACACAATTAGGGAATTCAGTGTTTCCCCCTGCCTGTCATCTCCATTGTCTGGGTCCTACATAATTTTGGGGAATTCCCCTCTTCCACAGATGAAGGGTACAGGCATTACTCCACCTCGTAACTTCCACTTCCTCTTATTATCATCTCCCACTAATCCTCCATAGTGGGCATGGGTGGCTCCTCAACCTTCCTTGGTGACTCATCTGTGCCTGCTATCTCAGCCACCCTTCAATTTTTCCTACAACCCTGTAGGAAAAATTATTCATTAACCTTTCTTATTTTTTTTATCAGGGGTCTGTCAGTATATCACTCCTATTCAAAAAAAACCTTATGATTACCAGTAACAAATAGTGTCACATACTACACTTCAGTGATCTTTTGTATTTTAAAAAGAATTTTAACTTTTTTGTCTGTATGTGTGTAAACATGCTGATTTTTGTAAATATGGGTGTCAATACATGATGTTATCAGGAAATAAGAGTTATAACTATAGTAAATCAAATCCAAAGTACATAAAATTCAATAAAATATTAGATTACTTTGAATATATTCCTAAATTTTAAAGATTACTAGGTAGTTAAAAAATTATATAAAATAGGTGCTCACATTATATTTGTCAAGTAATTTTTTACAGATATGTCCCCTGTAGAAAAATTCCCAAACATATGTCCCTTAGAGTCGTCAACATCTCATAAAAACACCCACCTTCATGTTAAAAATTGCTTTTCTGCTGCAATATTTTAAACTAAAAGTATGTAATATTTGATTCAAATCAGGTTAATTAAACTTTAAATCAGTTAATATTCAGAAAAGTATATTTTATTTTTGAAAGATTTTATTTTTAATAAAGAGAATTATGCTGTGCTGACAAATTTGACTAAAATTAGTGAATTTTTAGCAATTTAAAAAAAACAATTTAAAACTAACAAACAAAACAAACAATAATTTCAGTCAATTTAAATTGGTTTTGAAATATAGCAAAGTATTTTGCTTATTAGAAATTTTTAAATTTAATCCATTAGCTTGAAATTAAAACTAAAATAAAAGCTTCAAGAATGATTTTTCATTTTTAAAAATTTGTCTTTTTAAACTTTAGGTATTGATTTTCTTCTACAGTCTTCTCATTCTCTTTCACTCCTAGTAGTCCCTCATGTATTAGTGACATTATTGCCTTGCTTGGGGTGAAATATATGAAGAAAAAGCCGTCAAAGTCATAAGAATAGTTTTAATTTAAGGGAGATAACTGCAACTTAAATATAAATAGGTTATTTCATTTGTTACAGAAAATCAAAATGTGTAAATATTTTGTGTGAAAGAATTGTAATTGTAAAACAATTCAGAAGATTTTTTTTCTTTTTTAAACTAACCCCAGCCTATTACAATCACAACATATCACAAGTCCCGTAACCAACCAGGGTAAGAGGGGCATCACATATGCTGTAGCCACAGCAACAGTGGTGTGTCTAGGACAAGGTACCTTGACAGAACCCATCCCTTTTCAGGCTGGTTTTGAATTCAGTTTTCCTTCTTTTAGATTGGTTGCCACCTCAAGTGCCTAGTGAAGCCTTGTTGTTTGGCCCATAGTAGGTAGAAGAGATGGATTCATACCTTTCTCATGGCTACTTGTGTGAAAATGAATATAATAAACTCAACAGTAATCTGCACTTGGCTCACTGATTTCACTTTCCAGTTCAGTAGCCGTTAAAATACCTTATGGTAGCCTTTGTAGGTTTTGCCAAAAAATTATGAAAATTTTCACAGAAATGTCTTATTATTTGATATTTATTAAGTGTAGTTTGTGCTTAATAATGTCACTCACCCTCAACACCTTTATCTTTGCTGGGAATAGGGAAGTCCCATCCAGCTCTTTTACTAAATTTTTCAATTTGTCAGACGAGTCATCATTGTAACTGTCACCTACTTTCCCACTGGCCTCCAGCCTGTTTCATGAGCTGTCAAAAAAAAAAAAAAATGTGTCTCAAAACATGACACAGAACATTTAAAAAAATGCTTCCCTTCTCATTTTTTAATCTGCCTGTTTAACTACAATTTTTATAGCCTCCTTCTATCAGTGAAAGGTAATAATCTGACGTTGTTCAGATAACTTTTCTATTTCTGTTTTGCAAGTAAGTTTTTTACTCTGTATGTATCTCTCTCTTTTTTCCTTATCATCTTTCTTTAACCTTTTTTTTTCTTTTTCTTTTTTTTCCTTTTCCATTTACCTTCTTTCTTCCTTCTCTTTTTTTCTTCTACTACATTAAGTTTAATTTCACAGTCAAATTTAGAAAAATATCAAGGTGCAGTGTTTTGTGCCTATGTTCCATGCAGGAAGAGCCCTACCTACTTTAAAGAAAATCATCTTAAATCCTGTTTTCTTTCCTGTTTTGTTTTCTGTTTTGTTTTCATTTGGTTAACATGGCTGAAACATTTCAAGCATTTCTCAAAGAGCCAATGTGAAATTACATGGTTGTAATTCTTCCAAAAAAACAGTAAAATTTCCAGATTATTTGCTTTTATTATTGCAAAATCAATGATGAGTAGACAGTGTAAATAACTTATATATATTATATATATATATATATATATATATATATATATATATATATATATATATATATATATATATATATATATATATATATATATATATATATATATATATATATATATATATATATATATATATATATATATATATATATATATATATATATATATATATATATATATATATATTATATATATATATATATATATATATATATTATATATTATTAGGATCTTGAATAAGTTTTCAGTGATTTTTCATGAAAAGTAATGTTTTATTTACAAAAATTAGTAAGAAACATGTCACTGAAAGTATAGCCTATTGGTAGCCACTACTTTTTCACAACTTTCTGGCAGCATTAGAATTCTACATTGGGAAAATGACATGTCTTTTGAGGCTAACCATGAGTCGACCCATTTTTTGGCATCTTAAAACTGAAAGTGTTGCTCAGCCAGGCCATGTATCATCAGTTGGAACAAGTGATAATCAGACGGGGCAATGGACTTCTCATTTAAGCATTTCCATGTAGTTTTTCACCCGTTTTACAACATGTGGCTTTGTATTGTCACTTTGTCATGTCTCTGTTTGTATAGACCTCATTTTTTTTTTTCAATGCTCAGCACAAATGCATCAGTTGTAGTCAATACCAATCTCCCATGATGGTTTTGGTCAGTTTGAGCAAGACTGAGCTTATCCCACTATCTTCTGTGCTTAGTGTTATCGTAGTGTATCCACTTTTCATATGTAACAAGACGCTGTTCAACGTCTCACGCCATCAACACATATGGCACCCAATGTCCATGCTTTTGAATCATTCCTAATGCTTTCAAATGTTTTGAAACTGTTGTGCGATCAACTCCTAATGATTCTGCAAGTTCAACTCACACCTGTTATAAGTTTTCGTGAAGTAATGCCTCCAATTCTTCATCTTCAAACTTTTTCAGGGTTTCATTCTTTAAGTTCAATATCAAAATCATTATTTTTGAAGTATCTAAACCAATCTCTTCATGTTACTTCCAACATAGCATAGTCGCCATAAGTCTCAACAAGAATTCTGTGTGCTTTAGCTACAGATTTCTTTTGAATAAAGTGGTGCAGTAAAATTCCATGCAAATATACTTTCTTTGGCACAA